GCCAATATCCTTAATGAATACAAATGCAAAAATTATCAACAAACTACTAGCAAACCAAATTCAAGCATGTTAAAAGGATCATATACCAAGGTCAAGTGGGATGCATCCCAGCAATGCAAAAATGGTTCAACATATAAAAATAAATGAATATGAGGCACCACATGAATAGAATGAAAGAAGAGAATCATATGATCATCTCAACAGATGCCAAAAAAGCATCTGACAAATTTCAACATTCCTTCATGATAAACATTGGGAATAGAAGGAATGTACCTCAACATAATAAAGATCATATACAACAAACCTATGGCTAACATCATACTCAAAGGTGAAAGGTAAATCTTTTCCTCTAAGATAAAGATCAAGACAAGGGTGCCCACTCTCACCATTCTTATTCAACATAGTTAGCCAGAGCAACCAGGAAAGAAAAGGGTATAAAAGGCAACCAAATCAGAAAGGAAGAAGTAAAATTATTTCTGTTTGCTGATGACATAATCTTTTATGGAGAAAATCCTAAAGACTTCACAAAAAAACTATTAGAATAAACAAATTCAATAAAGTTTCACAATACAATACCAACGTACAAACTGATATATTGTGTTTTGATATATTAACAATGAATTAACAGAATATAACGAAATAAATCAATCCCATTTACAACAGCAATAAAACAACAAAATGATTTGCACAAAGAAAACTATAAGACTGTGATGAAAGAAAGTGAAAAAGAGGGAATTATCTGGTGGTCCAGTGGTTAGGACTCTGTGCTTCCACTACAGGGGGCCTGGGTTCAATCCCTGGTCAGGAAACTAAGATCCCATGAGCCGTGAGGGAAAGAAAGAAAGAAAGAAAATAAGGAAGGAAGGAAAGGAGAAAGAAAGAAAAGAAAGAAAGAAAGGAAGGAAGGAAGGAAGGAAGGAAGGAAGGAAGGAAGGAAGGGAAAAGGACACAAATAAATGGAAAGATATCCCACGGACTGGAAAAATTAATATTGTTAAAATATGCATATTACCCAAAGCCATCTATAGATTCAATGCAATCCCTCTCAAAATTCTAATGACATTTTTTCATAAAAATACAGAAAACAATCTTAAAATTTGTATGAAACCACAAAAGACTCCAAGTGGCCAAAGCAATCCTGAGAAAGAAAAACAAAGCTGGAAGCATCGCAGTTCCTGTTTTCAACCTATATTAAAAGGCTATAGTAATCAAAAAGTATGGTCCTGGCATAAAAGCAAGTGTCGGGAAAACTGGATATTCACAAGTAAATAATGAACCGGACCCTTGTATTACACTCTTCACAAAATTTAACTCAACATGGGCTAAACACCTATAGGTAAGAAGTGAAATCATAAAATTCTTGGAAGAAAACAGTGAAAAATCTTCTTGACATTGGTCTTGGCAATGATTTTATAACTATGACAACAAAACCACAAACAAAGGCAAAAATAAACAAGTGGGACTACAGCAATATAAGGGTTCTGCACAGCAAAAGAACTGATCAAAATGAAAAGGCAACTACAGAATGGGAGAAAATATTTACAAACTATATATATGATAAGAGGTTAATATCCAAAGTATATTAAGAAGTCATATAACTCACTAGCAAGAACTAAATTATCTTATTAAGAAATGGTCAGAGGACCTATTTCTCCAAAGAGGATATTCAAGTGGCCAACAGGTACATGAAAAGATGCTCAACATCACTAATCATCAGAGAAATGCAAATCAAAACCACAAGTGAGATCACCTCACACCTGTTAGAATGGCTATCATCAAAAAGATAAGAGATAACAAATGCTGGCAAGGATGTGGAGAGACTGGAACCCATGTGCACTGTTGGTGGGAATGTAAATCAGTACAACCACTATAGAAAACAGTGTGGAGTTTCCTGAAAAAAATTAAATATAGAACTATCATATGAATCAGCAATTCCACTTCTAAGTATATATCTGAGGAAATGAAATCACTGTCTCAAATAGGTCTTTGCACCCCATGTTCACTGCAGATTATTCACAACAGCCAAGATATGGAAACAACCTAAGTGTCCACTGACTAATGAGCAGATAAATTGTGAGATGTGTGTGTTTAATAATCATGTATATATGAATATTATTCAGTCATAAAAAAAAGAAGGAAATCCTGTCATTTGACACAACGTGGATGAAGTCAGAGGGCATTACTCTAAGTGAAATAAGTCAGACAGAGAAAGACAAATACTACATGATCTCAGTAGGTGGAATCTAAAACAACTGAACTCATAGAAACAGAGAACAGATTGGTGGTTGCCAGGGCGAGAGTTGGGGGTGGGAATGAGTGAAAGTGGTCAAATGGTACAAATTTCTAACCTGGGGATACAGTGTAACTATAGTTAACAACACTGTATTGAATATTTGAAAGCTGCTAAAAGAGTAGGTCTTCAAGTTTCTCAACACACACACAAACGGTAACCATGTGAGATGACGGATTATCAAATATATACATATATATATAACCTTATTGTGGCAATCATTCTGCAATATATACATATATCAAATCATTACACTGTACACCTTAAACTTACACAATGTTATATATCAGTTGTATCTCAGTAAAACTGGAAAAAAGAGTGGGTCTTGTAAAAAATAATAAACAGAAACCTCAATTAGAGTCGGGCTACCAGAAGGGGAACTCTCACAGCCTGGAGGATAGCAGAACCCAACAGGAAAAAGAAAGACTTCTCTTCTCCTTTCCTGGCAAGGACTCAGCCAATAAAAAGCCATGGACACTTTGTTTACTATAGCTCCCTTCAACTTTCTTTTTCCCCTTTATAAAAGTGTTGTTTCCCTTGCCATGAGAGGATCTGCACCTGGCTAAACATGGTTGCAGACCCCAAATCATAATTCTCTGCTGATTCTGAGTAAACCCATCATTTCTGGAGAAATCTGGCAGTCTATTTGTTTTAGATCAACAATCTCATAATGTAAGTTCAGCAAGGTTACTGGATATTTACAAAAATATATAAAAACTGGCCATATACTGATATACACTAGCAGTGAGAAACTGGAAGATGAACTTAAATGATCAAGACCAGTTGCAATAGCATCAGAGCATATAAAATACCTAAGAATAATTTTAGCAGTATATGTATTAAACCTCCACAGAGAATTTTTAAAAGACCTGAATTAACGGAGAGATAAAGCATGTTGGTGGACTGGAAGATCCAACATTATTAAGATATCAATTCTCCCCTAATTGATTCATAAATTACACACCATCCCAATCAAAACCTAAGTAAGCTTTTGTGTATGTGTAGAACTAGACAACCTGATTCTAAAATCTATAAGAAAATGCAAAGTTATATATAGACATACATAGTATTGACAAAGCGCAAAGTTGCATAGCTTTAACTACCTGATTTCAAAATATTTAACAAAGCTACCATATTCAAGGAATTGATTCTTAACCTAAAAAGAAAATTTTACAATATTATGATTGGTGTCTATCATTTTAAAATTTAATCTTCATACTCTTTGTTGTTGGAATAAACAAAAAATGTATTTTTATATTGATAGTTGTATTTTAATTTTATACTGGCTTTTTATATATTTTTCCTTTACAAATTTTTATTACAAAAATTCCAATCAAACTTAAAGTCTGAAGAATGGCACCAGGAAAACACATACTAACCACTTATATTCAATAATTCCTATCATCTGCTTTATTTTCTTCACACACACATGATCTAAACATTAGTTGTCAGCAAAGAAACATTGTTTTCAGGAGGATTCACAATAGTGACAAAGACCTGGACAATTGCTGACAGTCTTTCCTGAGGCTTTGGCTGAAAGAGGACCAACAGCAAGGACTGAGAATAAAACAAATTCCTAGGGAATATCTGATTCTTCTTTAGCCATGGTGACAACCCCTAGAAATGGTTTTAGATTTATCTAATCAATCAATATGTCTTTTATACTAATGGTAGCAAGTACACACCAGTACAGATTTTAATTCTGTCTAATCTATCAATGACAATTTGAATCACTGTACATGCTACTAAAAGTCAACTAAATATACAAATGGGTCAGTATAAAAATCATAGTGTAGCCTTATTTTTCTGAAACACTGTCAAGTTCGCTCCCCTTGCTACATTTTATATAGCTTGTTGTAAAAAGAACATAACTGGGCTTCCCTGGTGGCGCAGTGGTTGGGAGTCCGCCTGCCGATGCGGGGGGCGCGGGATCGTGCCCCGGTCCGGGAGGATCCCGCCTGCCGCGGAGCGGCTGGGCCCGTGAGCCATGGCCGCTGAGCCTGCGCGTCCGGAGCCTGTGCTCCGCAGCGGGGGAGGCCACAGCAGTGAGAAGCCCGCATACCACAAAAAAAAAAAAAAAAAAAAAAAGAACATAACTGTAGAAAAAGGTCATTCCCACTTTCCAGAAAACAGTAGATTATGAATATTTGATGGCTGTTCCTTCCTACAACAGTCTGCTCCTCACAAACATAATAAAGAATTGAATGCAATAATAAAAGTTACCTTGAAACAATAATACAATGAACGTCACTTAACAAAAAGTACATGAATGTATACCAATTATTAATTTTGAGGAAAATACTGATTTTATTTTTTTGATATTTATTTTTTATTTGATATTTATTTAATATTTTGATATTTATTTTTATTGTTTATTTTTATTTATTTTGAGGAAAATGTTTAATAATTAAAATCACACTGATTATATAATAACTACTGATGCAAGCATACCACTGCTCAAAACAATTAAACAGACTTACAAAGGCCAAATGTTTTTTAAAACAATATGAAATTATGATCAGTTGACTTTAAAAATATTCTGATTTTTAAAGCAAATATATACAGTTTAATTTTTATACTCTTAATTAGTAATAAAAATACTATTAAAGGAAGAATAAACTAAGTAATATATATATATTCTTGCTTTAAAATATTTAGGAAATTTTGAAACATGAAAATAATGAGAGCAAATTTGATAGTAATTACATACCAAAGCAACTCCTCCAGCAAAATTCTTATCACATATTTTTGCAGGATGTGTGGCTCCTATAAAAGTAGGACTTTTCTGGAAGCTAAAAAAATAACAATTTTCCTCATAATTACATTTCAGTGGTATTATTAATGATAATCAGATCAGACACAAGAATGTAGAGATAATAGGTAGTAAAAGTTTACTAGCCAAGAGACATCAAAAAATTGTATCACTCATAATTAACCTCCTTTAGTTATTTCAAAACTTTTATGTAATTTTACTTCTTTCAGGTAATTTTATGTCATTTGATAAAAGATTTTAAGTCTTACCTCACATTAGCTACTTGAGGACAAAGAGGTTAACCTACATTTTCTTCCCATCCCATGGTGTCTACCAAATTTACAGAACTCAGTATACATTAAGTAAATGCTTGTTTTTCATAATTAACATATAAAATCACTTTGGGTTATTTCTTTATACAAATATGAAATACTATACTCACGCAAATAAGTATGCAGTATGATGAGGTTGGGAGAGAAATTCGGTTTTCCATTCTAAAAATTTATATAATATATGATTAGGATGTCTTGTAGTAGAAATTTTGTTTTTGTTTGACCAAATCTCTATGGAAGATATTCTAACAGTCAGTTTTAACTGGGTAAGCATCTAAATGGAGAAAATAAATAAAATTTTAAAAATAAATTTGAACATTATATTAAATTTTTGTAAAGGTATATTTAAGACATTTAATTCAATATTTTTAAAAATTTTTTTTAATTCAATATTTTGAATGTGGAAACTCTTCAACAGCACAGCAAAATACTATATATATCAATACATATTACCTATACTCTTACAGAATATATTTAAAAAGTAGTTTTAAAATACTTACAGTGTTAACAAAGCCAATGATCTGAATAACCTTCTGTGTTACAATTTTTACATCAGAGCCCATGTAATCAAACTGAAAAAGATAAATTATTATTAAAAAATAGTGGATACCATTAATATACCACACAGCCTTTATATCTATAATATGCTATATACTAAACTAGCCAGAGGGCTACATTCCAACTGAAATCCAGGAAATGCATATTTACATTTGTATGTGTAAATGTATAAATAATAATTTATTTAAATAAATTAATTAAATGTATAACTTTATCTATATGAGATAAATAAAAATATTTGATAACATTTAAAATATTTAAATGTTTAATGCACTTGTAGCATTATTTATAAAAATTGAATCATAAATTTTTTAAATGTTATTTCAAAATATACTTATTTCTAAAATAATACATATAATCACAAACCAAAAAATATATGCATAAAGAGGGAAAAATCTTTAATAAAAGGTTGACTGTTGAAGTGATCATGGATACTGTGTTAGGTTACATCCTCTGATATCACCACATTAACTCATGTTACTCATGCTTCTTAATTCCAATAAGCTCTTTCTATTTCTAACTGCTTAAAAATGCCAGGACAATATTAAAAAACAATGGTGATATCAGGAATGTGAGCTTTGCTCCTGAGTTTTCACTGGAAAATCTCAAATATTTCACCATTAAGTGGTGTTCAGTTTAAGATGAGTATTCTAGATCATGTTGAGAAACACCTACTTATAAATCTTCCTACTTATAAAACTTTTGTTAAAAATGAAGTTGAATTTTTATCCAAAGCCTTTTTGAAGCATACCCAAAATGATAATGACTTTTGTCTTTTGACCTACTGATGGAATACATTTCATTAATACTTTACTTAATATTAAACCATCATTATACTGTTTGATCAAAACATTACATTCTATTAATATACTATCAAAATTAATATAATATTTTGTTTAGAAGTTTGTAGATTTCAGAACGATGGGCCTGTTGGTCATATGTGCATGCATGCATCCTTTGTCATAACTGAGCAAATGAGTGTTGCTTACTAAATATTAAAGCACTACCTAAAATTAAGTTGCTTGTTTTTTCTACATCCTAGAATTGTATTAGCTTATGAATTATATCTTCCTGAAACATTTTTTAAAACTCTCCTTTAAAACTATCTATACTTAACACTGACAACTGACCCATTCAAATTCTTTTTATTTCCAGTTTTTTGAAATATAATTGACATATAAGATTGCGTTAACTTTAAAGTGTACAATGAGATGATTTCATTTAAATTCTTATCTCCAATGGAGAAATCATGAAATTTGCATTTGTTTGTTTGTTTTAATCTCCCCCAAGGACACAGTTACACCATCTTAACCCTTTTCACACCATAACTTGTTTTCTTCCTTTTTGCTTAATTACACTTTCTACCTACTTATTTGCCTTTTCAACAGTTTGTGAATTTATTTATCCATTTTAATGTTTCCGTTTATCATCAACTTAACAAATATCAAGTATTTTTCCTTATTTTTCTAATATCAACTTATTTGAAGAATATGAATTTCCTCTCTGCTTAGTTTTTATACTATCCTCTGCAACAGGTATTATCTGTATTTACCAATATTCAGTTCTCTTCTAATTCAGGAACCCTTCTTTTAAAGGTAGGCATGGGCAGGTGATTCACTTTGGCCAATGCAATGAGGGCAAAAGTGATGCATGCCATTCCTGAGAAGTATTTCCTTATTGTAGCTCACGTCTCTCTGGTCTGCACTTCTATCGGTTTGGCAATTGGAAAAGAAACTATCAATCTAGAAGTGCCAAAAAATCTAAGCATTCTCTAGTGCTGAGCCAACACATGGAAGACTGCTGCCCTGGAGAGTCAGCCAGGAGCATGGTTGGCATTGATTGAATCAATGAAACTTAAACTGTGTTTAGCCACTAAGATTTGGGGAGTGTTTCTTATGAGAGCATAACCTAGCCTCTTCTGATTAATACACATCCACCTAATTTTTAAAACACTATATACAATTCATTAATTTCTAAATAGCTAAAGACTATAGTTTTCCTTTTCTGCCTTGAAAAATTACTCATAATTGTATTTAATTTTTTAATTTTATTATTTTTGCCTTATCTCTTTTTATTTTTTTTTTAATATACTGTGATAAAGCTCTGGCAAAATGTTTTTTTTAAATAAATTTATTTATTTTCTTTTTGGCTGCGTTGGGTCTTCGCTGCTGTGCATGGGCTTTCTCTGGTTGCGGCGAGCAGGGGCTACTCTTTGTTGCGGTGTGTGGGCTTCTCATTGCAGTGGCCTCTCTTGTTGTGGAGCACAGGCTCTAGGTGCACGGGCTTCAGTAGTTGTGGCACGTGGGCTCAGTAGTTGTGGCTTGCAGGCTCTAGAGCGCAGGCTTGGTAGTTGTGGCACACGTGCTTAGTTGCTCTGTGGTATGTGGGATCTTCCCGGGTCAGGGCTCAAACCCATGTCCCCTGCATTGGCAGGTGGATTCTTAACCACTGCGCCACTAGGGAAGCCCCTGGCAAATTGGTTTCTGCTTTTACAAAACTATTGGTGTTTTCCTTGTGACCTATAGATGACTACATTTGCATGTATTTTCTATATATATCTATAGACATTTGAATGTATGTGGTACCCATTCATAAGATACAAAGGTCAATAAGTGTTTAGTAAAACAAGCTGATAAATAATTTGATCTTTATATGTTAACACTTATTTTCTATCTGTTAAAGGCTAACAGAAATGATTGAATGTACTCCAGTATAGTTTTGGTTTCTGTTAAATTCTTCTGATCACTTCCAAAGGTTTTCTTTTTATACTTTCAACATAATTCACTTAGCACTAAATGCTTATTATTAGAAATTCATCTTTAACTTGAACTGTAACATTCAATATAAAATACTTCTTTAATTCTTCTATCTACATTTTTTTTACCCTGAACTTTACCTATTAGTAATATCATCCTGATTTTCTTTTTTGTTTTGTTTTGTTTTTTTTGCGGTATGCGGGCCTCTCACTGTTGTGGCCCCTCCCGTTGTGGAGCACAGGCTCCAGACGCGCAGGCTCAGCGGCCATGGCTCACGGGCCCAGCCACTCCGCGGCATGTGGGATCTTCCCGGACCAGGGCACGAACCCGCATCCCCTGCATCGGCAGGTGGACTCTCAACCACTGTGCCACCAGGGAAGCCCCTGATTTTCTTTTTTTATGGTAAATCTTGCACATTTTTGCTGGTCTTTTAAGAAATGTTTTATACCTAACAGTGTCATTTTATGTTAAGCTGTGTCATAAATGTCATCTAATTTGAGATCCTTTGCACATTTTAATGGGAATATTTAATCCATTCCATTATTGTAATCAATGAAGCTGACTTACAGTTTTCTATTTTTCCTATTCATGTCTTCATGGTATTTCCTTTTGATTTTTGCTATGTTATAAGAGAACATTTGGAGGGGGGAGGTTCTATATTTCAAGGTTATATCTTCAGGATTTTATATTCAGATATGTTTAAACATTGTGCAACAAGTTTCTCCATTTTTATCAACTGGACTCATCTATATAAAAAGGCCTTAACCCCTTATGAGGTGAAAATCAAAAATTTTGAGGATTCATCAGGGTTCAACTCTTTTTTCCAAAATGCATATTAACTCTTACTAGGACGAGGCTGAATATGGTTATATAAATAAGGCACTACTACATCCTGCCAACTGACTGAATGCATACACTGCCTTTCTCTTTCTTTCTGACTTAGTGATAAAGTTGGTATATATAATTGTTTTGAAGTGTGTGTTTTTTAGTGCTACCCAACTCTTAAATTTTTAGATCAAATTTATTGAGGTATAATATATATACAATTAAATTCCCCCATTTTAAGGATTCATTAATTTTGAAAAATAGCACTTACTTTATATTCTGAAAAAATTCAACCTTCAGAAAATATAAAATTCAAAGACATGGAAAACCACCAAACCAAAATGCCAGACAGAAATACAAGAAAAAAGAAACAATGGAGATACAGAGCAGCCAGAAAACAAAAGCAGCATTATGAAGACCTCATTTATCAATAATCTCCCTAAATGTAAATGGACTGAATTTACCAACCAAAAGACACAGAGTGGCTGAATGGATTAAGAAACAAGACCCAATAATATGCTGCTTCCAGAAGATACATCTTAGCTCTGAAGACAAACACAGGCTCAAAGTGAAGGGATGGAAGAGGACACTCCAATGGCAGCCAAAAGAAAATGAGTGTAGCCATACACATAACAGACAAAATAGACTTCAAACCAAAAAGAGTAACAAGAGACAAAAATGGACAGTATATAATGATAAAAGGAACAATTCATCAAGAACACATAACAGTTATTTAATATGTATGTACCAAACATAGGAGAACCAAAATATATAAAGCAATTATTAACAGACCTAAAGGAAACAGTGGCCTTAAATGAAACATTAGACAAGATGGATTTGATAGATTTGTACAGAACATTCCATCTAAATGCATCAGAATACACATTCTTCTCAAGTGCACATGGAACTTTCTCAAGGACAGACCATATGTTGAGAAACAAAACAAGTCTCAATAAATGTAAGAAAATTAAAATCATATCAAGCATCTATCCCAACCACAATGTTATGAAACAAGAAATCAACTACAAGAAGAAAGCTCTGAAAATCACAAATGTGTGTAGACTAAACACCATTCTTTGAACAACTATTGGATCAAAGAAAAAATCAAAGGAGAAGTCAAAAATTACCTGAAGACAAATGAAAATGCCACATATCAAAATCTGTGGGATGCGGTACTAAAAGGAAAGTTTATATCAACACCAGATTACCTCAAGAAATTAAGAAAAATCTCAAAGAACCAACCTAACGCATATCTAAAGCAACTAGAAAAAGAAGAAAAAGTGAAGCAAAAAGTCAGTAGACAAAAAAGGAATTAATAAAGATCAGAGCAAAAATAAATGAAAGAGACTAATAAAACAATAGAGAAGATAGATGAAACTAAGAGCTGGTTCTTGGAAAAAAAGAAAAACCTTTAGCTAGACTAAGAAAAAAGA